AGTTCGTCAGACGTTTAAAAAAAGAAAAAAATGTTTCGTGAAATGTAATAAATTTTTGTTTAAAAACTTTTGGTAACCTTATTCTCTTTGAACCATCATACCCAAGTAGCGGTAGTAGGGGTAGTAGCGGTTGGAAAATCTCAAAAGTTTTGACTGAAAGGTTTTTTTTTTTTTTTTTGTTAGTAGGAAAACTTTCACGTTTTATCCGATAAGTTTTCTTTTTTTTACCTTTTAAATTTCATCCCCCGCCTCCTCCTCCCCTCCTAAAAAACCATAATTTTATTCTTATAAAAAAAAAATGTTATTTAATTTTAACAAACGACATCGGCGAATTATTATTATTATTACTTAAGCGAATCGACACCATTTTGTTTTTTTTATTCTTTCATTTTAGTCCAATATAAATACGAATCAAAACCGGGGGAAAAGAATAATTAATTACTAATTAAAATGTTTAAACAAAAAAAAAAAAAAACTTTTTTTAAAATTACAATTGTGCCAACTTGAAAAAAAAAAAATACGCGCCATATTAATTTTTAAAAAAAAATTTTTAAATTTATTCGATTTTTATCATTTGAAATTTTTATTTTATTTTATTATACTTTATTTATACGCGTTTTTATTTCACGCATGTGCGTGTACGCACGCATAAATTTTACGCATCGTTTTTGTATATTATTAAATTTTTATATTCAACAAAATTTTCTGTTGACACGAAAAAAAATTTTATTATAATGAAAATTCATTTTTTTTAACCGTTTAATTTACGACCGTGGAAAATTAATTATAAATTATTAATAATAAAAAATAAAAAAGTTTGTCGTGGTTTTAGTGATAAATAACATTTTTTTTACCACGCGCACGCACGCACGCATTGTAATATTATTTATTCAAAAAACACTCGGTTAATTAATAATAATAATAATAATAATAATAATAAATTTAATCAATAATAATTATTTTTCATGAATAATGTTTTTTTTTAATTTAAAAAAAAAAAAAATTCGTTTTATATAATCGAATCGCTCTTACTATCATTATTATTTTTAAAAAATCACGTGGTTTATTCCCCTTCACTCCCTACCCCTTTGTAAAAAAAAAACACATAAATAATTACCGTTTCGTTTTATTTTTTTTTATTTAAATAAAAAAATAAAATAAAATGACAATGTCGATTAATTTAAATGTAAAAAAACAGAATTTTTAATTAAGTTTCAATTTGGGAAAACGAAACAAGTTCAAAGGTCAGTTAATTCTATGATGACAGTAAAACGTCAATAAAAATTTCACCTTTTTTTTTTGTATTCGCAAAATAAAATGATAACAATGTCGATGGCGTAATATGGTAGTAGTAATAATAATATATATTAATAAAAAAAAAAAAAAAACGTGA